TTGAAATAGTTGTATGTCCTTTTAAATTAATCCGCATATACAAAATTCATCTCACTCATTTTCATTGGATTTATCGTTTAATCGTGTTTAATAAACAAACATTTTTAGTTGGTATCTTTTAGGAGTGAAAATATTGTCACGCCCTTTTTTTGTAAGAGCAGGGTATCTTTTACGGGTATTTTTTTTTAATTTCCAACGATCACTCCCCCTCCGGAATTGCATGACAATAATATCGCAAGCRTTGTTTACMGTTGTCGACGCTTAAAATGTCACTTAGCTAAAATCGCGATAAAATCGCCTTCAATTCTCACCTACGTGCCCTAATTAATACAATATGTGAAATAACTGAAATAGGATTATTAATATTGTCGTCAAAAAGGCTCAAAGGAAGCGATTTTTGGCATTAAAAAATTCTCACTTCTTTGATTGTCCTTAATAGCACTTAGTGTGGTAGGAATCAGTGATAATTGAACAATTTGCATGTATTCTTTATGGCTTGTGTCTCTTTATTTGTACCACACGGAAATTGAAAAATGGTCCCAGTTTAGATCAAACGCAGTGCTAACACCTTTATGACGGAACAAATAAGAAAACCTCAAACTTTTACCTCACAAAATAAAATATTTGAGAAGATTTGTAGGCAAACATAAATTTCAAGTAGTTTCTTCAGATCTACTTGCAGTGAAGAACGTGTTGTGTTGAACGATAACAAAAGGCTTTTCGAGATTAATATTGCGTAACGAAAATGAAATGTTTATATCAGTTTTGCTCACATAGAAAAAACTATTATAGTGTACTTAATTATTAAAAAATGGATTCAAATTGAAATGAAGAGTCTTTTATTTTTATCTTTTTGTTTTTTATTTTTTGCAATGCTCGTCGAAATAAGGTTTTTCTGTCACTTTCTTGGCATTGTACATGAGATAAAACTGTTTTGTTGTAGTTGATTATTATTGTTTTGTTTGTAGTTGATTGTTGTTTGTTACTKTTGTCGTTGTTATTGATGTGGTGCTTTTGTAATTGCTATTAGTTGTTCCTGTTGTTATTGTTGTGGCACTGATCCAATCGTTCATGGCTTATTTTTTTTGCTTTGGTTTTGAAGTGACAACTGCTGTCACAATAATTGCTAGTTCTCCACTAGCCTATTCTATAGTAAGTAAATAATCGGATATTGAAATATCAGGASGAGCCGACAGGGTCTGTTCTTCTAAATAACTTTTCTCGTACAAATATTTTCCTGGGAAAGGGATTTTGAGCTACATTGTTGACAATCACAAAAGAAAATGTATCGCCCTTCATTCTTTAAAATAATTTGGTTCCTGGCAAACGTTTTTAAGGTCAAAAATGAATGTTTTATTTTCCTGGCAAAAATTTTTAGAAAGTATTCCTTGCCTGGAGAGTTTTTTTTCATGAATTTTCTCGCTGGCAACCAGTTGTGACTTACAGCTGGCTGGGACATAAGAACAGATAAATTTCTTCCAGGAATCAATCGGCTAGGGCTCCTCTTCAAATATTACTTCATTTCAGAGTTGCGTCTTTGAGAATACGAAAGTTCCATCTTACGATATGCTAATAACAAAGACGTTAAGCGGGGGCTTTATTAGATATACGAATTTCAAGCAGTCACTCAAAAATGTTTTCATAAAAGCATGTGCGCATTCCATACTTTGTCTACGATAAATGTAATGTCATGAAGTGACTTCTTCAAAGTTCATATGTCTAATGAAGCYTTTTTACTGACATTTTTCGTCGAGCGGTCGAACCGACGCCTTCACATAAACGTCAAATGATTTTGTGAGTATTAAGTAAAATTCAACTATAAAAATTGTTTTACTTTACCCACATGAATTAGATTATGATATTATTATTATTTTTTCAATCCATTCCTACAGAAACAGTGTTCTTTTATATCAGTTAGGATTCTTTTTGACAGACCAAGCTTGAAATCTAATTTTATTATGCTAAAAAGGAGAAAAAGACCTAAACAATTACTGGTTTCTACCGAAAATATTTGGAACTTTTCCACTGTCTAGGATTATAAAAAGACTTCAACATTTGAGATAATTTTCATTCCATGTTTGTAAATATCAATTCACAGTATTTTGCGAGTTTTTTGAGCATTTTACGTAGTAATTTCAAATGCATTATTACGAAAAACTTCGTGGAAACCATGCTTAATTTTACTTTTCCAGTCAGTATTTCAGTCCAGTAAACTTCAGTTTAACAACGTAGAATTGCGGGGTTCTTTTTTGTTTTCTATTTGTTTTTTATTTTTTTTTGCATTTTTTTTTTTTTTTTTTGGACTAGTGTTGAGACTAAACAAAGTGTGAAAAGAAAATGCTAGTCCACTACTTCTAACTAAGGCTATTCTCGCACACTTCTCGATGGGAAACCAATCTACAGCTAGTTAGCTGCTAAGCTAAAACTATTTCAGTATTATAATGATTATCCGCTATGAAATACCTAAATTTCTCTCTTTTGAAAAGTTGCTATTCTAATTCGTCGAAGTAAAAAACCTGATTTGCTTTCATTACGATATGATAAACAGAATATTACATCGTATCTTGGAGATACTATTCATTTATCTTCTAGTGTCAAAGATCCTTCAAAACTCGAAGATAAAATTCGCATATCTCCGCGCGGCCATGCAATTATACCCTCTATTCGTTATCTCCACTATATATTTTGATATAACTTTTATTCTAATTTCCTGGATAGGGTTGAGCATATAATCTATTGTGAGTTTATTTCAGAACCAGCACTTAGTCGAATTCAATTTTAGTACAAACTCTTGACAATATTCTAAGGCTTAAGTGAAGATTATTCCCAAGTAATCCGTCCTCGTATTTAAGGATTTGAAAGTTTTAAATGGTCCTAAATTATTGTGACTTGTGAATKTGCTTAGTCTGTAATTGAGCGCAAAGAAGCTATTTTCGTAAATGTTTCTATGGGAACGCTTGATTTTCACACGCACTTAAATATTTTCCCGCGAAAAAAACCTTATCACTCTGTCGTAAATATATATATTTGCTTTGCCTCACACATTGGATAAATTTCATATTCACAAGGTAATCTATCAATGCGCGATGGGCATGAATTAGGACTTGATACGTCACTAAGATATTTCAACCAATTGCAGCTCGCGGTTTTCTAATTGTCCGTCACGTGACTTAACCGTAAATATAATCACTTCTTTCTTTGGTTTGGAGTTTTTACAYTRATTGCAACCAGCGAGTGTTTTACGTGTTGTACTGTACGCTATTTAAGGTAAGAACAACGGTAAGAACCCCTATTTTGACCTTATTTTTATACAGACCGAGAAATATGTACTTAACACGGAGGAGCTGTAATTTGTTTGCGTTTTTTTTAATGACCAACCTTTCTCAACTTAAAAAAAAAACTTATGAGTTTTAAGGCTAATCTTTAAAACACTCAGGAAAATAAAACATAAAAAAAATTCTAATACTATTTAGGGCTTAACTGTATTTAACTATACCTTGGCGGTTTTACTAGTGCTAAACAAACGTTGAACACAAAAAAACTGATTTGCTTGATGTTGAATCCTTTAATTACAATGTACTCGATTGTTTTATTTCGTAATTTGAATATGAAATGCTCTTACTTTAATTTTAGAAAACAAAAGSCATTTTTWAAGAAGTTGGAACGAATTTATGTTTTTAGTTTGACTGCTGTGTTGACTTTGTTCCCAACACTCTGATTCAACATCTTCGAACTCCTAAACAAACAAATATACCCTGTCGAAGAGCTTGTCATGTAAAAACCCTTGTTAATCCCGACTTGGGGTTTTCTGGTAATTGAGCAAAAAATACTCCAAATTGAGCTGACTAAGTCAACGTGTTTCCTTCTATTCTTTTGTATTACTTTTTAGCGGATAGAAATTAAGAAATTTGACCACTTCCCAATTAGATAAATTGACTTTCTCATGAYCCACTGGTTATGAGCAGTTTGAGATCTTGGCAGACTCAAGATATGCCAACTGAAATCACTAATGATCAAAAGTAGTTTAGACAACTCAACTAGATGTATATAATTAGCATTAATCTTTGCATTGGTCTCAGTTACRGCAGAAAACTGACTTTTAGATTGATACTTTCCAAAGAAAATTAAACAAATCAATAAATGRATAAAGTAACTGTCTTGAATGCTTGAATGCTAGAGGCGTCAATGATGTCTGAAGTTATTTATGTTTTCTTGATTACAGAAAGTTTGAAGGAAAAGTCTCTTCGGTTAGCTGCTAAACCAGCCTCAAATATATAACGACAACTGTGCGCAAAATGACAGCAAACATTACTTATAGTACCGAGGAGATTGATAGACTTTTGGTCCCAATCTATGTAATCGTTATCATGTTCGGTGTTGCTGGGAACACTATCGTCCTTGTGGTCATAAAATCGACCCGTTCAATGCACACGACGACAAATTTTCTTCTTCTTAAYCTCGCCGTGGCAGATTCACTGACTCTACTGTGGTGCGTGCCTTACAAAGTTCTTATTTTCGCCTTTGTTCATCCTTCAGGCGTTGGAGGGAATATCTTGTGCAAGTTTTTCACATCTTACAACGTTACAGTCATCACTTTAACTGTGTCAATATTCACGCTAACTACCTTGTCTGTCGAGCGCTACAGAGCCCTAATTAACCCGCTTCAAAGGAAATTTCGGTTGGATTTGGAAACAGTGCCATATGCTATAGCCGCAATTTGGATTGCTTCGGCAGCATTCATGGTACCGCTGTTTGTGGTCACGGAGTATATCCCAGAAGCAAAAGCCTGTCGCGTTAAGTGGTCGTCCAAAGAACAAGAAGATCTTTATAGTTTATGCATCATGGTGTTCAGCATATTTACACCAATTATGATAACTGTCGTTTGCTACATAAGGATTATCAAAGGACTGTATTTCAGCAACACCATTTGCGCAATTCCGACAGGGTTACAGCAGCAGTCTGACGTACAAGAAAAAAGGAAAATTGTAAAAATTCTCCTTGTTGTTACTGGTGCTTTTGTGATGTCCTTCCTGCCTTATGCATCCTTTCGTATCGTTGTTGCGTCTGCAGATGAAAATGATCATGACAAGTACTCGAAACTGCAAAGTTTAAGAGAGATTTTTAAGTTTATTTCGTATGCGTCATCGTGTTTTAACCCTGTTATCTACGCTGTTCAAAGCTCAAACTACAGAGAGGCATGTAAGAGATTGTTTCTGAAGAAGTGCTGTTGTTTCAAAGGGGCTTCCCTGGAAACAGGTTCAATGACCATGGGTCGCTCTATCACTAACGGAGAGCTCCAAACAGCCCAGCAGTTCTCTGTGGCAAAATGAAAGGGAAAAAAATGATGAAGAACATAGACAAGAATATTTACAAACTCTTAAACCAGTTTGAACATAGTCAATATCCTCAACTTTTAACCATTGACTATGGTTTAAAGGAAATTGGTTTTCAGCACTGTCATTTTGTGATCAAAAACAAATATAGAAGATACTTGCTACAGAATCTCATTGGCTCAAAAACTAACAGGTATAATTTATAGGTCAACAAAAGTGTTCAAATATCAAAATGGAAAGACATTTGCAAATAATATTCACCGCGGCCAGAGAGGAGTTTCCGTTGTTGACCAGGCAACTACTTATGGATCAAAACACGCATTCTCTTTAATTACGCTTTGTCTAATAGATRAAGTTTGTAATTTTCGCGTAATATAGACCCGTAGTTTATTCCTTTTTGAGCGTTTTTGCATGCGCAAAAAAAAYTCCAATGTAAATATCGTAGTTGATAACGCATTATTTGAGAACTGAGAAATCCGACTAGGCTGTGACATATTAAAAGCCTTAGTTTCCGTTGTAATTAGATAAGGCAGTAATTGCTCTCCTTATCAGGATGCTACGATATTTAAGCCTTTGAAAGAGCTGGTTTATTAAATTCAGCCAATTTAGCTGTAACTAATGAAGACAGCGAAATGAGACAATATTCCCGCATTTTTTTTTTTATTTCTTTATAATTTCATTGTCATGTAATGCCCTGACATAACTAGTGACAAACGAGCGATATGATGCACTATAGTTGAGTATCGCGATCTCTTTTACACTGTGTTTTATAGCCTCAATTGTGTGTCAAATATGCAGAAAGTGAGAGAAAACTTCAAACGATTTCAAACTATAATAATAATAATAAATAATGCGAGATTTAGTAGACTAAGTGCAACAAGTTCATAGATTCCAGCTAAAATACAATAAAAAAGTAACAATATAGCAATAATTATGGCATTTATTCGCAAATACTAATATATAATATATAMAATGAAATACTTTTGTTTTCATTGTGTTCTATACTCGCAGATCTCTTGGAAGACCCGATGCAGTTAAATACAGTGTACAAGAGAGAGATCGCTAAAAGGGTTAATTCAACGAAACGACTTGAGAAACGTCTTCGAAATCCTGTCTAACACAGCTAAACAATCATTGAAAATCAAATACGATGACAAATCTCCATTGTATTTATATAATATTATTATTAACATTATTTATGTTTATTGTCTCAAACACTGTAATCCGTATAAAGCGAGGTCTCACTTATCATTCTATTGATAGTTTTTAYAATTTTTCGAGAGTGCCTCTGTAATGAAAGTATGTATTTGTAATTCTCTCTGTTATAGTTGATTCAAAAACAGCACGATGAAAATAATAAGATATTTTGAACCTTTGGTCAATTTTTAATTTGTGTTTAATTTGTAAGAAATATATATGTAGTAAAATAAACGATAAAGACAACAAGTGATTTTTACGACGTTTCGAGGTCATACTGTCCTCATTGTCAAGTACTTTTAATGGACAATAATTGTGGGCTAAAGTTTAGATACAGAAAAATTAATTTTTAAATTTTTTAAATTTTTTAATTTTAAACTAATTTTTCTGTATCTAAACTTTAGCCCACAATTATTGTCCATTAAAAGTACTTGACAATGAGGACAGTATGACMTCGAAACGTCGTAAAAATCACTTGTTGTCTTTATCGTTTATTTTACTACTGATTTCAAAACCACTTTTGATTAAAATATATAAGTGATCTGACAATTCACTGCTACGTTTAGACAAGTCAAAAACTCAATTTAAAATGTCCAAACTTTTAAATGAGAAATTTGGGCGCGCAATGTGCAATCATTCTCTTCATGTTCTTCGTTTTCAAGTTAAGTCACAGCAGCCATCTTGGAGGAACTTCATCAAAAGATTTCTCATTAGTATCTATTGTTCATTTCTCCAACATGGCCGCCGGTCTTTTCTCTTTTGAACTCATGGGAATGGTTGTTTGAAAACTGTACAAAAATCACAAGTGTAAACCAAGGGCCTTAAAGGCACAGAAATTCAATTTCTGTGCCTTTAAGGCCCTTGGTTTACACTTGTGATTTTGCACTTCATCCATTCCCATGAGATTCAAAAGATAAAGACCGGCGGCCATGATGGATAAATGAACAATAGATASCAATGAGAAATCGTTTCAGAAGCTTCTCCATGATTGACCGTTGTGACGTAACCTGAAAACGAAGAATATGAGAATTGTTTCACGCTTTAGAATTATATTTGCCAATAATAAAATGTAGAAGTGATTTTTAGCTGTTCAATATAACAATAATTACAATTATCATATTTCATTTATTCTGTGGACGTATTTTTGTATATCTTTGATCATCTGTGTTTAGTTAGCGAAACAATATCAATTCCGTGYCCAATTCAATTCGGAGGCCTTACACACATACTAGAGACGTTTTCGCGAAAACGAATGTGAAACGATAATTGTGATAGAGAAGAAAAGAAAAGATTAAATCTAGAGTAGAATATACTAGCTACAGGGCCGTAGTTTGCCTTATAAATGGGGAGTTGGTTTTTTTTTCATAATGCGGACCTAAATTAAATGTTTTAACTAATAGTTCAATGAAATAGGTATAGTGTGTAAAAACTTSCTGCTAGAATGAGCAGTTTATAACAAAATACAGTTCGTAACTGGTAGCAAAACGAATTTTAAAATAGAACAATAAAGAAAGAGCCAGAAACACCGGACCTTAAGCTTGTGGTCAAATGAAAATCTCTGTACTGCGGCAAAATCTTCATGGTAAGTCAGATAATTTCGGATCACCTCGTCGGGTTATTTCGGATATTACAAAACATCTTCGTACAGAAATGTATATAGTATATACATATAAACAAAAAAACAACAACAACAAACAATGCAAAAACTAACATGAAGACTTCTAGTCCTTAAATGCCGTTTCAATTTGAAACTTTGAAAGTAATTTTGCAAACCACAAACACACTAGCTCCAGTGACGCAACAAGAACAAGAAATCATGGCGAATGCCATAGCTAACAAAAAGYGAAGCTATAAAGAAGTGATTTGGCAAGAAAGGAAAAATCGCGATGGAATTGCTAGCGCTCTAGAAGTCATAGTGTACGGGAAGTAGCTCAGCTAAAATGCATTTYGCAGTGTTGCACGCGCGTCGGTTGCTCACGCGTTTTCCCGCTCTTTTTGTTGGAGCAAATAACTATAAGGATTTTTCAATTTTTGGCACGTAGKATAATAAAACCTATTTATAATGAAGTGTTCAGAATCGGGAGATTTTTCGCGCACACTAAGCCAAAACAATTTGCGGCTGTTTAAATATTGGCGCGCAGGTGGCCAATGCGACGTCAACTTAAAAACACAAATACACCAAGAAGCCAAGACGAGCTCAAATTATTCAATTAGCAACTATCACATATGGGAAAACTGGAAATAGAAAGGAATTTTTGATACGAAGTGGCAAAATTCCACGCGCAGTTATGTGTGAGTAAACTTTTTAGATGGATGAATTACAATATACTTTCATTAATGTAAAATACGACGGTTGAATTACTAACGTGAAAATCAGTTTATTAAAAACGAGTACAACATGCAAGAGCTATCTATACGTCAATAGGATAGAACACACGTTTCAATCTTTCGTAATAATAATAATGATAATGTTAATTTTTAAAGCGCTTATACAGCAGCTCAGATCTAAGAGCTGAGAGGGAAAAAAAATACAGATAAAAAATTACAGGTTATAATTAAAATGTACAAATTAAAGGCAAGTTTGAAAAAATAAGTTTTAAGGCAGGATTTAAAAGAGTTAATGTCAGTAATATTTCTAATAGCGGCAGGTAGAGAGTTCCATAATATGGKAKCAGCAACAGAAAACGAACGATAACCACAGGACTTWAGATTGTACGATTTTACAGACAGCAACACTTGAGATGACGAAAAATCCAGTAAATCCAGTATATAGTACCCAGGAWTTTTCCATTTCTCAGTTTTTCGATATGCTTCAGTATGACTTCTTCCTCTTCTTAACCCTTCGTCCCAGTACCCACTCGCGGTTAACAGAAACACGCACCTGGGTACTAGGGTGGGTGAAWCCTTAATAGGCCATTTGCATGATGGCGTAACTTTACTACAACTACHAGAAAGCCTTGCRCATTTKCTTTGTTWTTCAGATTTTTAATCCCCTTAGCGATTAGTAAAACAATTGGCACTAAATGCATTACAAAAGAAAGTGGGCAAAGCATTCTGGTAGTTGWAGTAAATGACGCCATAATGCAAATCGCCTATTGTTATTTCTTATAAATAACAGGTATAAAATTTACATTGCATTGAAATGCAGGGACAGTCCTTGAAAACATCAACTAAGTTGTCGAATCTGAACTTGTTTTTCTTTGCGTGAAACCATCGACTTTGTTGCTTTGTTTGTGGTGCCAGAATATCTCCAGACAGAGAGCTAGAAATGACACTACACAGCCAGCCCCAAGCACCATGAATACTCCTACAATACTATGAAGCTGAATGCTTTCTGTGCTGCTTATTTCTAAAAAAAAATGGAGAAATTTACAGGTCTTATTCATGATAGCCAACATGATGGTTTTTGTATTGTAACGCAAATAAGCTCTGCTCTTTAAAGCTCCAAGGGATGCCGGATTTATCACCAACCATCACATGCCCAAGTCATCCTGGCTACAATTGTCGTAGGGCTATCAAACAATTCTTGTGAATCCTCATGACAGATGATGCAGTCAAAAGATGTGCCATCTAAGACGAGTAAAGTGATTGGAAATATATACAAATGTAGCCAGGTCTGCTGTGATGAAGTAAATATATTTTAAATTTAAATTTAAATTTAAATTTAAATTTAAATTTTAATTTTAATTTTAATTTTAATTTTAATTTTAAATTTTAAATTTTAAATTTTAAATTTAAATTTACTAGCTTTGCCCCTAGTATGGGCAGGGACACCGCAACAACGTGAGCCAATTACTGCGGACCCTGTACTCTCACACTCACTACCTCTACATTAAGTATTTTTGGATCCAAGCTTTCGCTGTACTATATATAGCACCGTTTGGGAATACATGAGTGAGATGAAAAAAAAAGACATATCGCAGCAGGTTTTTTCGTTGAAACTTATCTTATAGACACTCTCTTGAAGTCATAACTTGAACCCMACTGGTTTCGCACGTGGGACCACTTGATTTTTGGGCATTTTTATGACATTTTTAACTCTTATGACGAGTGTGTCAATAAGAGAACAGACAACTCAAAACCGTGCGCAAAACCCAACAGAAACAGTAGAACCCAGTATATCTACTACATCAACCCAAACACAGCAAATCAAGCACATTTTTTTAATTTCGACTTACGTGATACTTGTGCTTCAGGGCATTGACTGGTCCCTTTGACATACTTATCCATGAGGTACGTGACATAYCCATTCTCGCGCAGGCGTAGTATTGCAAGTGATATGTCCTCTACGTGAGGGTCATTGAGTCTTAGAGCGAAGACAAACGCCCTGGGAGTCTCCAAACCGCTTACTAATAAAACAACACAGTGTGTTAGCGACGTTAAGCGTGCAACGATTGATACAAGTGAATRATTACTCGTAGGTGTGTGAAAGAATATTTCTATCTTTGCACGCTCAATAYTCGTCTGGCTTCGATACAAAGTTACGGCTGCCTTTCAAGATGGCGCATGGAACCATAAAGAAGAGYATTCACATGGAATTTCGGTACATGCGCAGCGAAAGGATCTCATATGGCTGGTTCATTRATATGAAGGAGGGAGTTTCTTTATTATAGTTATTGAAATTTCAATAATAGTAAAGGAACAGTATAATTATCTGTACTTTTGGGCTTTTTTCGAAAAAGTGGGGTAGGCTCCCTTCTTGACGTCTGCGCTGCCATCCATAAAAAGAAAGTGAAAAATTACGAGGGCAGGAAAGAACATACAATAAGCAACGTGCAGCGACGCTATTTTTGCACAGCAGAGCATGATGGTAGTTGTCCGTCTTCGTACTTTTTCATTGTCACTAAAAAGGTCTCCCTATATCATTTTTGGCTTTTCCTTTACAAAAAAAAAACAATTGTGCAGTTTCTACTATCGAAGCGTCTTCTAGAGAGATTTTTTTAGGATCTATTTAAGGTGCGAGGACTACAAACCACATCATGCTTTGCTAATAAAATGGCACTGCATAGTGCCAATATAATAGACTTCTCAAGTCTTTACGTCATGTACCGTATACGCAATGTATTTTAGGATATGTTTGTGACAAAACATGGTGGATTTCTTTTGTTTTCTCTAGAATCTGATCCCACAATGCACAGGAAAAAATCGCGCGCTTTAAAGGTTGTAAATTTGATGTAAATATGACGTAAGTGTCCAAAATTCTGTAAAATTTGATGTAAATGATCACATCATATTTACATCAAATTCACAACCTTTAAAGCGCGCGATTTTTTCCAGTGATGCATTGAAAATCAAGTAAAAGGCACARAAGTCTATTCTTTCTTACTTATTTTCTTAGACTTCTATTACACAATATGGCTAAGCCTCAAATATTGTACGGGSAGTTCCTGYTAGTTCATGTTAGGAAGCAACGTGGAAGAAACGAACACAAGCAAAATGGCATATCACCCCTTCTCTCTTTRAAGTACGCTTACCTGCTTTCAAGTCACATGGTTGTTGATGAGTGATGAAATCGGCAAAAGGACCCTCGGACAGGTGGAGATAGTCTCCTTTTCGTACCCATTCCAACGCTTGGCTGTCATTCTTAGGTAGGTCAGTCATGCGCGCCAGCGCTCGTTCGTAAAGTTCGTACTTAGTATAGTGAAACAAYTTATGAATCAAAGAATGTTCCACGACACCAAATTTGTATTTCGAATCAATGGCGGTTTGGAGGTTTCTCACTGGGAAGATGACGGTTTTTACGGTGAAGAACGCAACTAGGTTTGCAGTGTAGGTGGCAACCCACACCATGATAGTGAACCAGAAGAAACCAGCCAGAACTCTACCTGTTTGAATACAGTCGTTTTCATTTGACATGTGAATAGTATTTAAGATTAAGGTTTTTGTTATACATGTATCAGTACTTTTTGAGAACAATGCGTCCGCATTGGGACTCCAATCACTAAATTATAACTCCTAAAGGAATTAGAAACTTCTCAACTAATGTCGAGATAATGCAATACAATATAATGATAGATTACATGACATAGCAACTACGAAATGTGTTCTAAGGCACAACTAGTGATTCGGATCTCATTTTTCAAGATGGCGGACCCATTGTTCTCCGAAAGTACTGATGCATGTATATGAAGCGGTTTGGACCGGCTGAAGGGCCTGACTTTGTCTTCTCTCTTTCTTACTACAATTTTTTGAAACATTCTGTGAAACTCTGACTGTGATTGTGTCACTGCAACCTCCTCTCCCCTTTTACAATGTTACTCGCCAGCGAATTGCTACGAAATAGACAAGGAGGCGAAAGGAACGTTTGAAACCTTGCAAAGGGAAAGGGGGCAAGACGTTTGGTTTATTTTGCATAAGATTGTAGCATGCGATGTTGAGCTTTCGGAGTCAATGTAAGTATGATTCCCTTTATAAGTACCTGATACGGATTTAGGCGAATGATCTGGACCCTGTTGAAGCGTACAGCAAAAAGAAAACCAAAGACAATTGATGAGACTAAATTCCTCAGACGTTTTCGTTCCTTGGTTGTTTTTCATGCCATATGGACTGAAGTAGTTTATCACGTACATGGAAATAGTGACCACCACCAAGGTAACGATTGCCATCACCCAAACCTGGAAAACATTCATGAATGTTACAGAAGAAATCGTAGTACAGTCAACTCTCGCCTCACGGACACCCCGCTATTACGGACACCTCAATATTACGGACAGGAAATACTGAATCCCCGCGGAGAAAAATACGGATTCTCGCCAATGCGGACACTAAATATACGCCCCCAAGGGTGTCCGTAATAGCGAGAGCTGGCTATGGTAGTTATGGGATTTTGATAAAGTTAAGAAGGCGGATTTACTAATTACCTCTACGAATTTGTTTCCGTTAGGCTAAAGGAGTCTGCATTCTTTGAAAATTTTCAAAGCAACTGACTCCAGAGTATACCTTGTCAAAAGTTAAAAATAGTCCACTTTCGATAACTTGGTTGATTGGTCATGCACAAAAGAACCTGAAGATGAGGCTTAGGGGAAACAGAAGGATTATCTATTGTTTCCTGATCGGAGCCTCGTCTTCGAGTTTTTAGTTCGTCTTCTTCGTCTAGACCTTCGATAGCGTTAAAATTAAAACGAAGCTTAGACATTATCCTCCACATGTCATGATGCATTTCTCCAAAGCACACCGATGACTTCATAGCCCGGGGGGGGGGACTCCCTAATATCAAAGGGCGGGGGTCCTCGGCGGAGATTGTGAAAATGACCCCTAAAAGGACCTCTATTGTGAGATGATGGGCGTGACAGTGCTGAAATTTCAACCCTAARAGGGACCAATCAATAACAGGTCATTTTGTTTTGGTTTACCKATTTTATTTGTGTTTTTACACAATCATCGAACACCGTCGGCTCGAATTGAGTTTATGACGACGTTGCCATTTTATGGCTGCTTAGGGTACGCCGTATACCCTAAAAGGGACCACAAAACACAGTTGGTAGGAATTCTTGTCATGATCACCCTAAGCGGGACCAAAATACTGATTTCAAACCCTAAAAGGGACGCCGAGGACTCCCGCCCTTTGATATTAGGGAGTCCCCCCCCGGGCTTCATAGAGGGCAAGACAGAAATGCAATAGTCCATATGAAAAAGGGCAGTGCCTATTTTAACGTTTCAGTTTATGAGTTGTACAATATATCATTG